GGGCCAATAGTCCACAAAGTTTTCCTCATTCCCGTTATAGGCTGACTGTTAAAGATCGATTGCTAAGATTCAGCAATTACCCCATTATCTTTATATCATGCAACTGTCAGGCTGGCAGGAGGTTAACTAGTTGGATCTTGGCCTTTATTTCACCTTCCACTACCATGGGTTCCTTTGTGGCTTTTAAGTTCCAGGTCCAAGTAATTTGTCTACCTTCAGGGGAAAGAAGACCTGCAAGCCTTTCTCCTGGAGCCAATGGTAAAGCCACCAATGCAAACACTGAGATTATGCAACAATAACAGAAAGTGCTAGCAGAACTCAGCAGGTCTGGCAGCATTTGCAAAGATAAAAACAGAGTTAATAGCAACCCTGTTTCTGAAGAAGGATCCCAACCTGAAACGTCAGCTTTCCTGATCCTCTGATGCTGCCTGTTCTCCTGTGTTCCTCCAGCTCCACACCTTGTTATCTCTGACTCCAGCATCTGCAGTTCTTGCTATCTCTTAATAGCAACCCTTTCTGCTTTGAGTTACTGCACGTAAAACATTAACGCTGTTTTTCTCCTGATAGCTACTGCCAGACCTGCTGAGTTTCTCCAGCACATTTCATTTTTGTTTCAAGCATCCCACAGTTCTTTGTTATTATGCTGTTGTTATGTCTGCGTTTAACGTTTCGGTGGCTTAGAACATTTGTGAATACATGAGACAATAAGTCAAGGCAATTGACAACCAGCTTTGCATGAGTTCCTTCTTAGAACTTGTGCATGCTTTTCACCTGCTAACCAATACAAAAAGCTCAGAGCTCTGCCTCCATTCGCATCTGAATGGAAATTAAGCCATTCACTGATCAATAACATATCCATAAATTGATCAGTTGGAGTTTAACTATCGGTGAATCAATCAAACCAGGAGTGAATGGGGATCTAATGCAATATGACAGCGTGATACTTTCAGATGAAGTGGTTGGTTTTTATTCTTATGCACACACGGGCCCAAAACAAATTTCTTTCTGCTCACAGTTTACAGAAAACACTTTCACTCGGTCTCTTCTCAAGTAATGGAAATTTTAGATTAGGACACAGCGGGTGAATAAATTATCCCAGCTGGCTAGTGAGAAGCACCAATTTTCCGGCCACTGAGAATGAATGGTTGGAAAATGAGGAGCTGGACATTTCCAGATTTCCAAAACTTTCCCCCCTGGAATAGAACGGGCAGGTTGTAAAGTGGAGCGGGCATTCCGCTCAAAATCTGGAACTGGCCCAGTGGCAGTGTTATGTATGAGCTTCTCACTGTCATTCCGCAACAGGAATGAAGGAGTTAACATTGTGCGGCTGATGGGCAGGATCACACAGCAACTATAAATCGTGCCTTACCCCCTCTCCTGCCCTGGCCTGCACTGATGGATTGGCTCAGGTGATGTAATGCACATTTGTATTTTGTGGTCTGATATTACTCAGAGCACATCACTTGCTCCAGGGACCTATTAATAACTATCTGTACAACAGGTTATTAGTAATTGTCATTAATCTCATTAATACTAGTCAATTGGTGGACTGCAGGTCAGAGAAAGACATTAGACTCGAAAACTTCAGCAGCGGGGCAGCTGTCAGTGAATCACTATTTTTTTGGTTCCATGCCTGAAACAATTAACAGGCCTGCATTGCATCTTTGTCATGTTCCTCGTGCCTCATTTTGTTTTGGAAACGAGACTTGTCCTCTTCACTTGGTAACTAAGTGAATGCACTTGTCATTTTTAAGTCAAGAATTCAACTTCCTGCCCCTCCTTTGCTGATCACTATCGCTGTGCAGGATGCGGATTAAACGCGACACTTTTAAAGGGCGCAAGCAGACGCGTTAGAGAAGTGTTATATGGTCTCCATTGTCCGGAATAGGTTACTTCAGAAACTGCATGGAAACAGGCCACTCAGGCCCAATTAGATCATGGTTGATCTGTAACTTAATGCCATCTACGCCCCCTCCCCCCACCATAAGGACATGAGAAGCAGGAGTGGGCCATTCGTCCCATGGCTGATCTGTCCCAGGCCTTAACTCTTTCATCCTAGCTGCACATAACCCTTAACTCATCTATTTCAAAAAAAATCTGTGTACCCCCTCTTTAAATAGTATCATTGATTTAGTGTCCACAACTCCTTAAGATAGACAATTCCAGACATTCACAACCCTCTGGGAGAAGCAATTCCTTTGCATCCTGTCCCCTTATTCAGTAATGATGTCCCGGAGTTTGAGATTGTCGAACGAATAGAAATATCGTCTCATCATCTACTCTGTTAAGACCCTTCCTTTTGTATGTTTCAATAGGATCCCCCTCACTCCTCCAAACTCTAAAGTCCGAACCTGTTTAGCCATTCTTGATAAGTCAACTCCTTCATCTCAGGAAGTGCTGGAGATGCTCAGCAGATCTGGCAGAATCTGTGGAGAGCAAAGCAAAGCCAACATTTTGAGTCCAGCAATCCTTCATCAGAACAGATGATGGTTGTTCACTTCTGAAGAAGAGTCACACTGGAGTCAAATGTTGACTCTGCTTTTCTCTCCACGGATGCTGCTGAGTTCCTCCAACAGTTTCTGTTTTTTTGCTTCAGATCATCAGCGTCTGCAGTTTTTTTATTTTATATCAGTCTAATGTATCCCTTTTTGAACTGCCTCCAACATCAGCATTTCTCTTCTTAAATATGGAGACCAAATCTGTACACAGTACTGCAGATGTGACCTCACCACCACTAGATGTGACTTTGCTCCAATAGCTAGCAGTAAAGATCAATATTCCATACCACCTTTATTGCTAACTACATTTGCATGCTAAAGGTTTGTGTTCCATGCACAAACACACCTAGATCCTTCAGTGCTGCACTTTTCTGGAATCTCTATTTTACTAATAGTCTACCTTTGATTCTTCTTACCAAAGTTCATTTCCCAGTTTCTTATATTAATCTCCATCTGCCAAAATGTTTTCACGCTCACAAAATATATCTGCATCCCATTGCAGAATCCTTATGTCCTCATCGCAACATGCCCTCAACTATTTTTGTATCATCCGTAATTTGGATACGTTACACTCTGGTCCCTTCTCGGATTTATATACACACACATATATGTATAGTAAATAATTGAGGTGCTAAGCTGAATCCTTGTGGCACTCCATTAGTTACGTTTTTGCAACTTGAAAATGATCCATTAATCCATATACATGTCTTCTGGGTGATAACCAATCCTCAATCCATATCAATACATTAACCTCAACAGCGTGAGTTCCAATCATGTGCAATAAATTTTACATGCCACCTTATCAAGTGCATTCAGCAAATCCAAACATGCTACATTTACTTGTTCCCCTTTATCAACTCTGTTTGTTATAACCTCCAAGAACTTGAGCAAATTTGTCAAACATGATTTCCCTTTCACAAAACTGTGTTCACCCCATTTGACTGTGTTATGCTTTTCTAAATATCCTATTATTTCTTCCTTAATAATGGACTCTAGCATTTTACAAAATACAGATGTTAGGATACTGGTCTATAGTTTCCTGCTTCCTAACTCCCTCCCTTCTTGAACAGAGGCATCACATTTGCAGTTTTTCAGTATGCTGGAATTGTTCCAGAATTCAGTGAGCTCTGGAATATTTTTATCAATGCCTCTACTATCTCTGCAGCTAGCTATGGTCCCATAAACCATATGACCTGTGCCTCACCATAATCTATCAATGTCAGTGTTGAAATTTTCAACTGATTCACAGCCAAATCTGTTTCTTGGGGAGAGAATTCGAGCTCCTTTGTGAAAAACATCATCCCTGAACAGCTGAGCACTAACCTTTACGCTTTGTTGTACTGGCCTCCAGCATTTGCAGCACAGAATATCTGTGACAACAAGGTGCAGGGCTGGATGAACACAGCAGGCCAAGCAGCATCATAGGAGCAGAGAGGCTGACGTTTCGGGCCTAGACCCTTCATCAGAATATCTGTATTTGCTGCTGTGCCATCCCTGATGTGGTAAAGCAGTATGATTGTCCCCTTGTTCACCCCATAACATTTATCTTGAAGACTTGGTTGTTGTTGAGTCAGATTTCTTGAATTTTATTAACAACACTAACTACTCGCACTGTTACGTGATCTCAGACTTACACACAGTCTGAATTCAGTGCTTGCTACAACAAGGCCTAAACTCTCCCATGTCCCAGCGCCCTACCCCACATACCAGGCCTTGTTACCATATAGCCTGCCACTACACACCCCCTGTTGTTAGTCACTAACAGTCCCCATTAACAACTACTCACCCTTTCAGCCTGATCGTTAGCAACTCCTTTGTCTGTCCAACTGTCTTTCTCTCTCTTTGGGCTCTATCCTATCGTTTACTCCCTACCCACCTCCCTATTTTCTGCATATGAACTGACGTTTTCCCAGCCACCATCAGTTCTGAGGAAGGGTCACCAAACCCGAAACGTTAACCCTGTTTTCTCCTCCACAGATGCTGCCAGACCTGCTGAGCTTTTCCAGCAACTTTGTTTTTGTTCCTGATTTACAGCATCCGCAGTTCTTTTGGTTTTACTTGCTACAACAAAGGTGAGGCGATGACCTTTATACTGAACCTTTGCATGTCATGATATCATCTAACTGTCTTAAGGGTACATTAACTGCTTGGTCAGGAATCTAAACAATAATATGGCCCTTGTGATCACAACATACTCAACAAGAAAACGTAGTACGTGTTCCAAAAGCAAATAACATGCATTGTGCTCTTTCATTAGAATTTATGACAGTGCAACAGTTCATAGAACTGCAAAAATGCACACTTTGCCGCGAAAAGATGCTGTAGAAATTGACGGTTTTTTTTAAAACCTGTTTTAAAATATGTTCCCATGTAATGGGCTCAAAAGATGCTGTTGGCATGAATGACTGTCTTTGACAGTATTCCCAGACGGATAGAGAGCATGCAATACAATCATCTTTTTTACAGTGTTACGTGACATACCCTTGCAAGTACAGTGCCTACCGTTTTGTTTGGCCGTCTCATAGTCCTCCTTACACACTAACCGGCTGTCCTCCATCAGATAGAATTCATCACCTGTAGACAGTTGCCGGTTACACATGACGCAGGAGAAACAGTGAAGGTGATAGACAAAGTCTTGAGCTTTCCTCACCACCTGGGTTGGGGGGATACCCTGCTGGCACGCTGCACATTTTGTCCCAAAACGTCTGCAATTAACCAGAAACAAAAAAAAAGGAGACAAGGTCATTTCATATTACCGGTTAGTACAACAAGAATGCTGCTGTTTTGTTTTGCCGATCTTTGACCTTGCAGATGATGGATTTGCGTTGGACATAACACCCTCCACAACCTCAGGGCTTTCCAAAGCACCTCACAGTCAAAATTGTACTATCATTCAGGATTTTTACGTGATGCCAAATGGAAAGTAAAACAGAAGTGCTGTAATACACAGCAGGTGGAATCCCAGGAGAAAAAAAGAGTTTCAGGCCAGTGAGAAATAGAGAAGTATAGAAACCAGGATTAGGCCACTCAGCCCTTCAAGCCTGCTCCGTCATTCAATATGACCATGGCTGATCGTTCAACTCAGTACCCTGTTCTCGTTTTCTCCCCATACCCTTTGCTCCCTTTAGTCATAACAATTGTATCTAACTCCTTCTTGAAAACATTCACCTCAACTGCTTTCCGTGCCAGAGAATTCCACAGGCTCACCACTGTCTGGCTGAAGAAATTTCTCCTGTTCTTGGTCCTAAAAGGCCTACCCCATATTCTTAGACTCTTGTCCAAACAATTGTGAAAGGATATCAATGGCACCATATCGTGATGACAAATGAAAGCTTTCCACTGTATTTCATTGTATTCCTATTGTAACATACATGTGACAATAAAATCACTTATCATCATCATTTAACCTGAAACTCTTGTCTTTCTCGGATGCTGCCTGACCTGCTAACTATTTCCAGCGCTTTTATTTTGTGATATTTCATACTTCTGGCATGCTGCGTTTGAATGGAGTGACGTGCATCTGAAAAGCAGCACCTGAATCCAGCGCTTTCTTTAATTTTCTTACCGGTTATGTGAGCCTCAGACATGCGCACAGCCGTGCAGCTTGGAGTGAACATTGCCTGCAGCAATGCAGCATGAGCTCAGGAGTGCTCTGATATGTGTCAGTCAAGATTACGTGCCCAAATCCCTGGAGTGGGATTCCAAGCCATGACCAGCTGCCTGAGAGGGTCCACTGAGCCTCAACTAATTCAAGTGGACATAAATGAGGTGTTCAGCAGGGTCAGGAGGGTAGATGGTCAATGAGCTTCACTAATACCAGAAAAGCGATCACTGAACGCTGGCCGATCCCTCTCTGAGTGCGGGATATCTTTGGCTGCCTGCCACCCACAAATGTGTTTACTCATCACATCATCGTTTAACTTTGAAAAATGATTATAATATTTCTGAGTGAATGGCTGAAGGTTGACTCGTAAGACGGCTACCAGTAATGCAAAAAAAAACAGTGCGCAGCATTATAGATTTCAGCACGCCGGGGCCAAGTCGCTCGGAGACCCACATTCAAGCAAATCCACCATCAATCACAAAGCCTGCTTTTCCATATTTCGACTGCTTGCTTTTAAAATTGGACTGGCCTTAAAAGCAAACATACGCAGCATTTTGGTGGCGACTCAGTTGGCAGCTTTCTCACCTGTACCAGAAGGCTGTGATTCATGCTTCACTCTAAGACAACCTCACATCAGCCAGACCATCATGCAAGCACAGCACAGATGAAGTGCTGCAGTGTCTACGTGCTGAGGGACGCACGGAAGCTTGAAGCAGCTGCTGCCAAGGTACAGTGGGGAAAGACCACCATCTGAGGTCTTTCTGCTGAAGTTAAATGGGGGTCTGTTCAGTAATTGGACCCTCCCGGTGTCTCAAATGTATGGAAATATAGTCTTGTTTGCTGGAGAGAGTCAAGCTCCAATGTTAGTTTGTTCCTTCATATGCTGCTGTATAGAACCAAACTGCTTTAGTGACCATGTATGTATACAAATATATTTTTATGAATAAATATATATTTGAAATAAAAAAGTCATAGGTGCGGATGCAACACAATACCACTCATGTACTGATTTAACACAATGGAGTTTTTAAAAATGAGAGAATTCTTTTGGTTCCCTCAATTGAATGAAAATATTGGTCAAGATATCAGGAGTAAAATGGTTCCTTACACAAAAAAAAATGCCCCAACGGTCATGGTGAGGGGCGATAAAGCTTTTCTAATTTAGTTGTGCATTGTTTAATGTTTTGTCTTTCTTTACCTTAGAAAACAAAATTGCTGCAGTAATAAAGGTTATTTCATTCAAATCATATTACACGAGGAGACAATGAATTTATGTTCGAAGATTGAAATGGCAAATGTTGCAATGTTGTCCTCTTTAAACATACCAATTTCCCCATGAGGGTATATTAAATCTGATTCATTGCTATAAATCAAAATTATTTTTTTCTTGTTATTTCAAGCAACCTGTGATTATAAATCTGAACAGGAGAACCAGCAGGTACAATTAAAAATTAATAATCAAAAGTATAGGCAAATGTTCATGGAAAAGATTAATCAGACTCTAATTTTCACAAGAATATTTCAGGAGTGTACACTTTCAACATGTATGCTGTAGCTGCATTGACCTGTACAGTGATACAACATGCTTCAGCAACAGAATGGATGCAGGAGCCTTAAAAACCTGTGCAATCTCAGTCATTGTACCAGGGGGACACACATTAGGAACCACTGCCAATACCTTTGGAAGAATCATTAAGGGAGGTTCCAGTTCTGCATGTTGACCATAGGGCATCTGTATATCTGAAAAGTTACAGCTAGAGTGCCCAGTTACCTCAACTGATTGGCTCATCCAATGACCATTGCTGTTTGCAGAGGGGATTACAAATTCTAGTCCCCACGTTGTCCTCCAATTCACAAAGCATGCAGGAGCACTCATAGGAGAAATGTTTGCAAAGGGGGCTGCATAAAAACATAAATGCCATGATTTACTTTTTTACTGGTTGCTCGACCATTATTTTGCTTTCCACTTCACCCCTAACCTCCACCTCCAATCTCCCCCAAATAAGTCTATGTGGATCTTTTGGTACATTAGCACACTTCCTCCTGTGAGTGAATTGCGACTGATTCAGTGGTGAAAGACTGGAAATACTGGGTGTTTCCTTTCAAAGGGAGAAGCAAGGAACCATGTCTTTATGGCTCGGTTCACCAAGCAAGAAAAGGAATTGGAGCTGGAAAGAGTTAACTTTTTGTCGAAAGTAACATTGTTTTCTTGTGAGGCTCATTTGAGAAGAATCTGCTTCCTGATCAGCTCACATGAATACAAAGGATACCAGTTCTTTGTCCTCTATATTCAAAAAGATGTTCTTTGTTGAAAATTTACATTCACCATGATGCGAAACGTCAATACTGGAATATGAAATACTTGCTACTGTTTGCAACTACAGTTTGCAGTCTCAGTTTAGAAGTTGTCGACAGAGTTAAACTTTGCTTAAGCAGTGTCAGATCAAATACTCAAATGTCAGGCCATATCCAGAGTGAAGTCCTAGCTCTGTCTCAAACAATTGTCCCATTCCTAAGCAGCATTGTTATCACACGACATTTCTCTTTAAAGTATTAGCTTATCATCACAGTTATTCAGAGTGAGGTCACAAATATGCACCAATCTCTGTCAGATTGGAACTGCTTATTTAAAAAATTATTCTGAACATATTTCCACCAGGGACAGGATGGAAATTGTCTAAAGTAATTTTCCTTTGTGTTGCTGCAGACAGCAAGGCAAAGAGAAGAACAGGATAACTGCAGACTCCCAAATACAAATGCAAATGTACATGAAGAAAAGAAGGAGGAAAGACCATTAGCTTCATTCATGCTCACCTCATCCATTCAGTGATACAGTCGTTGAACCCACCTTCTCAAATGCCAACAACCGGCGGGAGTTCAAAATAAAACAAATCTGCAACTGGTTTCATGGACATTTTGGGAAATTCCTCCTGACTCTCAAAACAGGTCATTTTATCCATTAAGCCAGTCTTCATTGGCCATTTCCTAATAGCTATTGTTATGGTTTGTCACAGCCCTAACCTACTGTGCCACCACCAGCTGTTTGTCTACCGCTTTATAGACTGTGGCACGAATTTTTGTAGGTCAGTTGTGACACTGCCCGAGGTTGAACAACCTCAGCACAGACTGCCAATTCTTGGACTGGGAGGGCCTGACAGGGCAGTCAGAGATTTACATCATTGTAGATGGCACCTGATTTTCATTCCGCAGTCCACTTTGACTAATTACCTCCTAGGCCTGTATCTGACCCAAGAATGTGTGTTGGGGCACTCCAGGCTGAGTTTTACTCTACCTGACTGGGAATGCTGGATTGAGGTCTGTGAAAGGAGCTTAAATCTCCATCAGATGCTTGCAACTGCGATGCTCCCATTCGTCAGAATAGAGTGAAATTGAAGACGTTTTTTTCCCATTCTTGTTCACTATTCATGCAAGACTGAAAAATGGCTGACCCAGCAAATAATTATATCATCATCACAACCAAGATGATCCAGCAAAAAAAACACAGAACTTTTACATCAGCAGACCTGATCAGTGCATCATCTAGCCCTTCAATGCCAAAGAAACAAGTCGTAAAATGCTATTATTTAAGGAAATTGGCACTGGTTTGCTGACTGCAACTTGCTTCCACCGCGTTTCTGCTGACTTGCTGCTAGGAGCTCAGTAATAAAGTGAGTGTGCTTCCAGCAGCTTGCCTCTGAGTCATGTTACTTATGTGTAGATCAGTTGATAAGACATTCAAGGAACCAAGCCCTCCATAAAGTAACTGGGCATCTCTGTTTGTTCATATCATGGAATCATAGAATCCCTAGAGTGTGGAAGCAGGCCATTCAGCCCATCGAGTCCACACTGACCCACTGAAGAGCATTCCACCCATCCCACCACACCCCCCTACTTATCCCTGTAGTTTTGCAACCCTGATTATGCAGTCCTTCCGCAACAGAGTTGCTTTTGTATCTAACTCCAAATGTTGGGACCAAAGCTTCATTGTCACACAGCACACAATTCTTTTTGAATTCAATTTCTGGGACGTGGGCATTGTTGCTTGGGCCAATATTTTTTGCCCATTGCTGGTTGCCTCTGAGTTCAACCAAATATCTTGTT